GGGGAAGAAAATGAAAAAATTAAGGGGTGGGGGGGTTTTGGGGAAAAATATGGAATTTTGGGGGGAAAATAAAACTTTTGGATGAAAATGAAAACTATTGGGGGGTTTTTGGGGGAAAAGGGGATTTTGGGGGGTAAAAATGGGATTTTGGGTGTTTTTGGGGGGATTTTTTGGGGAATTTTTTAGGGATTTTTTTGGGTGATTTTTCTGGGGATTTTTTGGGGTGATTTTGGGGTTTTTGGGGTCCCTCGTGCACGGCCTTGCGCAGGATGTCCTTGTGCTCGGCCTTGGGGATTTTTGGGATATTTTTTGGGATATATTTTTCAATTTTTGGGGATTTTTGTGGGGATTTTTGGGGGTTTTTTTGCGGATTTTTTTCGGGATTTTTTCAGGGATTTTTCTGGGGATTTTTTTGGGGTGATTTTGGGGTTTTTGGGGTCCCTCGTGCACGGCCTTGCGCAGGATGTCCTTGTGCTCGGCCTTGGGGATTTTTGGGATATTTTTTGGGATATATTTTTCAATTTTGGGGGATTTTTGTGGGGATTTTTGGGCCCTTTTAGGACATTTCTATGGGGATTTTGGGAGGATTTTTGGGAGGTTTTAGGGTATTTTGGGGGGTATTCCTGTGGGGATTTTTGAGCCATTTCAAGATGTTCCTGTGGGGATTTTTGAGGAGTTTTTGCAGGATTTTTGGTGTGGTTTTAGGCTATTTTTGGTGTGGTTTTAGGGGATTTTTTGCAGGATTTTTGGGTCATTTCAGGCTATTCCTGCGGGGATTTTTGTGCCATTTCAGGGTATTTTTGGGGGTATTTTTGTGGGGATTTTTGAGCCATTTCAGGCTATTCCTTTGGGTACTTTTTGCTGATTTTCCCCAGGCTTTTCCCTGGGATCCCAGCACTATTTCCTGTCCTTCTGAGCCCTTTTTCCCTGGCAGCCATGCGCTTCAAGCTGCTGAAGCACACCCGCCTCAACGTGGTGCCTTTAGGGGATTTTTGGGGGGATTTTTGGGGGGATTTTTGGCCATTTCAGGCTATTCCTGTGGGGATTTTTGAGGATTTTTTGCAGGATTTTTGGTGTGGTTTTAAGCTATTTTTGTGGGTATTTTTGTCTGTTTCAGGCTATTTTTGGGGGTATTTTTGTGGGGATTTTTGGGGTGGTTTCAGGGTATTTTTTGCAGGATTTTTGGGTCATTTCAGGCTATTCCTGTGGGGATTTTTGAGCCGTTTCAGGCTATTTTTGTGGGGATTTTTGTGGGGATTTTTTGGCCATTTCAGGCTATTCCTTTGGGTACTTTTTGCTGATTTTCCCCAGGGTTTTCCCTGGGATCCCAGCACTATTTCCTGTCCTTCTGAGCCCTTTTTCCCTGGCAGCCATGCGCTTCAAGCTGCTGAAGCACACCCGCCTCAACGTGGTGCCTTTAGGGGATTTTTGGGGGGATTTTTGGGGGGATTTTTGGAAGGATTTTAGTGGATTTTTGGTGTGGTTTTAGGGTATTTTTGGGAGGGTTTTTGGTGTGGTTTTAGGGGATTTTTGTGGGGATTTTTTGGCCATTTCAGGCTATTCCTGCGGGGATTTTTGTGCCATTTCAGGCTATTTTTGGGGGTATTTTTGTGGGGATTTTTGAGCCATTTCAGGCTATTCCTTTGGGTACTTTTTGCTGATTTTCCCCAGGCTTTTCCCTGGGATCCCAGCACTATTTCCTGTCCTTCTGAGCCCTTTTTCCCTGGCAGCCATGCGCTTCAAGCTGCTGAAGCACACCCGCCTCAACGTGGTGCCTTTAGGGGATTTTTGGGGGGATTTTTGGGGGGATTTTTGGGGGGTTTTAGGGGGATTTTTGGAAGGATTTTAGTGGATTTTTGGTGTGGTTTTAGGGTATTTTTGGGAGGGTTTTTGGTGTGGTTTTAGGGGATTTTTGTGGGGATTTTTTGGCCATTTCAGGCTATTCCTGCGGGGATTTTTGTGCCATTTCAGGCTATTTTTGGGGGTATTTTTGTGGGGATTTTTGAGCCATTTCAGGCTATTCCTTTGGGTACTTTTTGCTGATTTTCCCCAGGCTTTTCCCTGGGATCCCAGCACTATTTCCTGTCCTTCTGAGCCCTTTTCCCCCCCGGCAGCCATGCGCTTCAAGCTGCTGAAGCACACCCGCCTCAACGTGGTGGCGTTCCTCAACGAGCTGCCCAAGACCCAGCACGACGTCAACTCCTTCGTGGTGGACATCTGTGCCCAGACGGTGAGGGGGCCCCAAATCCTGGGAATTGGGGGGATTTGGGGGGCTCTGGGAGCCCCCTGACCCCCCCTGTGCTGCAGAACACGCTGCTCTGCTTCACCGTCCACGGCATCTTCAAGGAAGGTCAGTGCCCCTTTTTGTTTTCTTTTTTCCTTGTTTTTCGTCATTGTTTTCTTCTTTTTTCCTCCTTTTTCCTTTTTTTTACTCCTTTTTCCTCCTTTTTTTCCCTTTTTTCCTCCTTTTTTCCTCTTTTTTCCTCCTTTTTCTTCCTTTTTCCTCTTTTCCCCCTTTTTTCCTCTTTTTTCCTCCTTTTTCCTCCTTTTTCTTCCTTTTTCCTCTTTTTTTTCCTCTTTTTTCCTCCTTTTTTCCTCCTTTTGCTTTTTTCCTCCTTTTTCTTCATTTTTCCTCTTTTTTCCTCCTTCTTCCTCCTCTTTTCCTCCTCTTTTCCTCCTTTTTCCTCCTTTTCCTCCTTTTTTCCTCCTTTTTCCTCCTTTATCCTCCTTTTTTCTTTTTTTTTTCTTCTTTTTCTCCTTTTTCCCTCAATTTCCCCCCCATTTTCCTTATTCCTCCCCCAATTTTCCCCCATTTTTCCCCCATTTCCCCCCCTTTTTCCCCCATTTTTCCCCCCTCATTTTTCCCATTTTCCCCCCATTTTCCCCCCATTTTTCCCCTCTCAATTTCCCCATGTTCCCCTCCCTGTCTGTTCCCGCAGTTGACGGCAAATCCCGGGATTCTGTCCGGGCCTTCACACGGATGTTCATCGCCGTGCCGGCCGGGAACAGCGGGTGAGGCCCCGGGGCTGCCCCAAATCCCCTGGGCTGCCCCAAACCCCCTGGGTTTAACCCCAAATCTCCTGTTTTTCCCCTAAATCCCTATGGTTTTTACCCTAAATCACCCAAACCCCATTTTTTTCCCCTTGAATCCAAATTTCCTTCCCCTAAATCCCATTATTCCCCCCCAAACCCCATTTTTCCCCCCCCAAAACCCAATTTCCCCCATTAATCCAAGTTTTTCCCCCGAACCCCATTTTCTCCCTCCAAACTCCCATTATTACCACCTAAATCCCCAATTTCTCCCTCCAAACCCCATTTTTCCCCCCCCAAACCCCATTTTTCCTCCCCAAACCCCCATTTCCCCCCATTAATCCCCATTTTTCCCCTCCAAAACCCCAATTTCCCCCCCCAAACCCCATTTTTCCCCTCAAACCCCCACTTTTCCCCCCCAAACCCCAATTTTCCTCCCCAAACCCCCAATTTTTCCCCATTAATCCATATTTTTCCCCAATTTTCCCCCCCCAAACCCCATTAATTCCCCCGTTATTCCCCCATTATTTCCCCATTTTCCCCCCAATTTTCCCCATTATTTCCCCCGTTTTCTCCCCATTATTCCCCCATTACTTTTCCATTATTTCCCCAATTTTCCCCATTAATTTCCCCATTATTCCCCCGTTATTCCCCCATTAATTCCCCATTATTTTCCCCAATTTTCCCCGTTATTTCCCGTTAATCCCCCCGTTAATTCCCCGTTAATTCCCCGTTAATTTCCCATTAATTCCCCGTTATTTCCCCATTAATTCCCCCATTAATCCCCCGTTATTCCCCCATTATTTTCCCCGTTATTCCCCCGTTAATCCCCCCGTTATTTCCCCCCGTCACGGATTCCCGTCCCCAGCTCGAAGGGAACCCGCGCCCACCGGGGCCAGGCCCGCCTGCTGCCCCTCCGCGTGCGCGGCCGCCCGCTCTTCTTCCTCGTGGACACGGCGGGGACGGTGCGGGAGCCGCTGCTGTTCGACGTCACCGTGGGAGCCTTCCGCTTCTAGGGACACGGGGACATCACAGGGACACCGGGACAGCTCTGGGAGCCGCTGCTGTTCGATGTCACCGTGGGAGCGTTCCGCTTCTAGGGGACATTGGGGACATCACAGGGACACCGGGGACATCACCAGGACACCGGGACAGCGAGGGGACACCGCAGGGACACTGGGACACCGCGGGCACCGTGAGGGAGCCGCTGCTGTTCGATGTCACCGTGGGAGCCTTCCGCTTCTAGGGACACCGGGGACACCAGGGTGACACCGAAGGGACACCGGGACAGTGAGGACATCACAGGGACACCGGGACAGCTCTGGGAGCCTTCTGCTTCTAGGGACACTGGGGACAGCGAGGGGACACCGGGACAGATCCGGGAACCGCTGCTGTTCGATGTCACCGTGGGAGCATTCCGCTTCTAGGGACACCGGGGACATTGGGGTGACACTGGGGACACCACAGGGACACCGAGGGGACACCGGGACAGCTCTGGGAGCCTTCTGCTTCTAGGGGACATTGGGGACACCACGGGGACACTGAGGGGACACCGGGACGTGGCCTGGACGCAGCCCAGAGACAGCGGGGACATGGAGGGGACACGGCCTGGACACGGCGGCGGTGGCACCTCCTGGCACCTGCAGTCACCCAGTGTCACCCGGTGTCACCTGCTGTCACTGGGTGTCACCTGCTGTCACCCGCTGTCAAATAATGTCCCCCCGTGTCCCCTCCTGCCCCCTGCAGCACGGCCACGGGGACAGCGCCATCGTCCCCAAACTGTCCCCAAATTGTCCCAAATTGTCCCAAACTGTCCCAATCTGTCCCCTGTCACCCCCAGAATAAAGCGTGGAGCCCCCCCCCCCTCTCTGGAGGGGATTTTGGGGGGGTCTCCCCCAGGATTGTCACTTCTGTCACTTTGTGTCACCCTCAGTGCCCGGGGACACCGAGGGGACCCCGCTCTGGGGGGGTCACCCCAAATTTTGGGGTCCCAGCCCCCCCCCCCCCCACCTGGACAGGTTTTGGGGTGTTTGGGATGAAGGATTGGGGTCAGGAGGGGCTGATTTGGGGATTTTGGGGTCCCCGCCCCCCCCCCCCCCACCTGGACAGGTTTTGGGGTGTTTGGGATGAAGGATTGGGGTCAGGAGGGGCTGATTTGGGGATTTTGGGGTTTTTTTTATTTTGATTTTTGTGGTTTTTTGGTTCTTTTTTGGTTTTTGGGGGTCCCTGAGCTCCCCCTCCCCTCCCGGTTCACCCCAATGGGGACAACGGCGGGGGCGGGGTAGGGCGAATGCAAATGAGCGGGCGGGTAATTAACATAATATCACGGAGAGGCGGGGCTTGCGCGACAAGAGGCGGGGTTATGCAAATCAACAACGGATTGGAAACGAGGCGGGGCGAATGCAAATAAAGGGGCGCGTTCGGCCAATCACGTTGCGGGGCGGGGAAAAGCGGTGGGCGTGGCTATGAAAGAACACGGGATGGCTATTTTGCATGAGGGGGCGGGATTATGTACATTAACCGAGCTGAAATGCGCGACAGGCATGCTGGGATGATTTTTAAAGGGGGATTTCGGGGTTTTGGGGGTCGGATCGTGAGGGACCCGGGAGGAAAGTGCGGGATGAGATGGGGACAGAGGCCGGGAACGGGATGTGAAGGTTTCCGAGCGCGGCGCGGGGCTGTCCGTGAGGTGCGGGCCGGGCGGGCGGGGCCGGGCGCGGCGCGGGGCCCGGCTCGGGCATCGCTTCTCGGCCTTTTGGCTAAGATCAAGTGTAGTATCTGTTCTTATCAGTTTAATATCTGATACGTCCTCGATGAGAGGACTTCATATTAAACGGATTTTTGGGCTCGGGAGTTGGACCCGGAGCTTGCTCCCTCCGCTCCGCGCATCGTCCCGGTATTGCAGTGCCTCCGGGAACGGTGCACCCCCA